CGGGGGAGGGCTCGGGGGCTGGAGCGGGGGGCTCCCTCCGGGGGCAAGGTCTGGCGAGCGCCTGGCTTGTTGGGGAAGCTAGAAGAGGCGTGTTCCTGGCGCACGTGGGCTGCCGGGGCGGGAGGGTGTTGCTGCTCCTGCAGAAAAGCCGTGGGCAGGCGCAGCCCCGGAGCCTAATGGGTGGCTCTCGGTTTCGTTGTGCTGCCGCGTTGAATAGCTCTGAGGACACAGAGACAATCTGAGCTGCTCCCCACCCGCTTCGTTACTTCCTGCCACCACCCCAGGTTTTGGGAACCTCTGGATTTGGAGGTTGGCCTCTGTGGCTCGGAGTCATTTCGATATTAGAACCACCTTGAAAGAACGTGGTTAAGGTTTCAGAGTCATCACTCGGAAGCTTAAAAATGTCTGAAATAATGGGGGCAGGAAGATGAGTGAGAACTTGTGTCTCATTCAGAAGCTCTTGTGAGCCAGCAACGTAGCGATTACAGGGTTAAATGGGCTGTAGCCCTATTTGCACGCCGTGCATCTTGCATAGTGAGGAAGTGGGTAGCTGCCCTCTAGTGGTTTGGTGCATCTAGTAAACAATGCTGTTCACTAGGAACGTCCTTACAATCTTTTCTCCGTTATGCTTAGCTTGGGCTTTTAAAAAAGTAGATAGCTGTAATGTGTGTGGTGTTTTATGGTCCCGTGAAAAGCCATTCTGTTTTGAAAACTGTATTTCATTTGAAAATTAGCGGTACAGGATTGTGGTAGATGAGAAATTGTCTTGATTTGTTTCGTCATTTGGCTGATTAGTCTTTTGAATTCTTATATTTGGCATTTCTGACTGATCCTACATGAATTGCATCAATACACTACTCACATGTTTGCAGGATTAAATGAAATTGCCCAAATGCCAGAGTTAAGAGGAAGAGAGGTTGGGCTCTGTGTGATGAGAATGTAAAATCTAGAGATGAACAGAAAAAGAGAGAAGGTTTTAGTAATTGAAACTTTAAGATAAATGAGAAATTAAGATTTCTTCCAAAACCTAGTCACATGCGATAGAAACGTAAGCAACTATAGAGTCCAGTCACTACAGGCAGTCCCCGGGTTACGTACAAGATAAGAACAAACCTACAGTCCCTAAGTTGAATCTGTATGTAAGTCGGAACTGGCGTCAGCCGCTGCTGAAACTGATCAGTTTCAACCGCGGCTGAATCTGGATGCCAGTTCTGACTTACATACAGATTCAACTTAAGAAACCCAGGCGTCCCCAAGTCAGCTGCTGCTGAAACTGATCAGCGGCTGATTCCAGGAAGCCTGGGGCAGAGCAGGGTCTGCAGGGAGACGGGGAGCAAAGCCTTGGAGCACGCCTGCAGCGGGACAGCCCAGGCGCGCCTGGGCTGCCCCGCAGCCCCAGCCCCTCTGCGGCTTTGCTCCGCGTCTTCCTGGTCTGCAGACCAGGGAGACGCGGAGCAGCGTTTCTCCGCCCCGGC